TCTCAAAGCGCTTCACAGAATATCCCGTAGTGTGTTTGTGTCCCACAAACAGTCGTGGATTGAGTGACCGCACTTTTTTTGGTGTGGGATTATTATTACCCCCACCCCGGAAAGCGATCCGCCGATCGACTAACAACCGGGTTCCTACTTACTCTCCCGCTTCGGCAAACAGGCGAACGGAATAAGGAAACTTGACCAAGATTTTCGCCCCGGCCCGGGAATCGAACCCGGGTCCTCTCGTTACGCTACGGGGCTCCAAGATCTCACGCAGGAGGACCGATGCCCACTTTAAACAGGGTGCCAACCGAGAAGCAAAGGAGAAATCGCGTCGCAGCAAGTGATAAACAGGCTCCCACGGGCAATTAATGTCAGTTTTAGCAACAGATTTGTCACCAGTCGCTAGCGTAGAAGCTGGTCAGACACCATCAATCTCTCACGGACGGATGATTAATGCAATTGCCTTGTAAGTAACATAGTGGGAAGTCCTGGCTGTTTGATGAGAACCGGCCACTATTCCAAGCTCCTTGAATCCTAAACTAACATACACCTGGTTCACACTGTGAGATGAAGACCCTGGCACATTATTTAGTTGGAGTCATGTTGTGTTAAATTCAACTGCAAACACTGAGCAGCGTCTCCTGTTTAGAGCTCATTTTCCTCCCGAGCGAGACAAACAAAACGGGGAGAGTGAGACAGATAATAATAAGTGATAATACTTGCATTTGATACAGCGCCTTATCACGCCTTCGAGGTGTCTCAAAGCGCTTCACAGTATATACTGTAAAGTGAATTGACTGTATATTTTGTGGGTAAAACGCAGCAGCCAATTGCGCACAGCAGCGTCCCCACAAACAGTCGTGGATTGAAGTGACCAATTTATTATCATTTTTTTTTTGGAAGGGATTATTACCCCCGGAAAAGTGATCCGTCAATCGACTAACAACCGGGTTCCTACTTACTACTAAGTAAACAGAGGCGTGTGGAGTAAGGAAACTGGCCCAACATCTTGCCCTGCCTCCCTGAGAAGCGAGGGTTCTAACCACTGAGCTACAGGACTCCCCAATACTGGAGAAAGTCAACTCAAGAGGCAGTTTTTTCACCCAAAGGGTAGTGGAAATCTGGAACTCTCTCCCTCCCCCAAACGGCTGTGGATACCGGACCCATTCACGTCTTCAAGACTGAGGTGGATAGGTATTTGTTAGGTCAGGGTATCAAGGAATATGGGGCAAAGGCGGGGAATTGGAGTTCAGGTACGGATCAGCCATGATCTTATAGATGGCAGAACAGGCTTCAGAGGCTGAATGGCCTCCTCCTGTTTCTGTGTTTCGATGAAAGAAACAGAGGGACAGAGACCGGAAAGAGAAAGAAAGATTTAAACGCCTGGGGTGCAGGGGAAGAGAAAGAGAGACTGGGGAAGCGAGAAAGAGAGAAAGAGAGAGAGAGATAAGCAGAAAATAACAAAGATTTTACGTTTAGATAGCGGCTTTCACGTCAGGATGACGTCCCAAAGCGCTGGACGGGGGGGGGGGTTTGGAGCTGAGCAGGGGGTTGGGATCAGGAGGGGTGGAGAGCGTAGAGGGTAGCGGTAAGTGGGTGACCGAAGGCACAGTCGAAGAGGAGGGTCTTGGAGACAGAGGCAAGGGAGGCGGCGAGGCGGAGAGACTGCGGGATGGAGGTCCAGAGGTTGGGGGCAGAAGGCCCGTCCGCCAATGTTGGGGCGAGCGAGGCGGGGGACGTGAGGCAAGCCTGCTGAGCGGAAGTTACGGACAGGTTGGTGGGAGGGGAGTGGTGGGGGGGTAAGAAATCTGGGGGCGGAATTTATTTAAAGGTCGAACTGGCTTAGACACTGTTCGGTTGACGTTAAAGAAACAAAAACAAAAGCCTGACGGGTACTTGACACCAAAAGGGCCGCATTCCCCTATTACACAGAAAGTCAGTCTCTCGTCGCTATCCATGGTCCTGGATCAATCCCAACACCTATTAGGATTCCTGAGTTGTTACTGTATCATGGTTGCCTTTCACTGCTAAAAAAAACCCACCCCACTGGGAACATATCGGCTAAGGTGTGTGTCAGCTTGGCTCAGTCGCTATCGCGCCCCTCGCCTCACCCCCCGCACCGAAGAAATCCTCATTCAAAATATATTTATATATGTATTGGTCAATCACTTCATCGCTGCTTGTGGGAACGCCGCTGTGCGCAATTGGCTGCCGCGTTCGCCCACAAGTAGACAGTCAATTCACTTTACAGTGTGATCTGTGAAGCGCTTTGGGACGTCCTCCCGACGTGAAAAGCGCTATATCAAATGCAAGGATTATTATTATATATATATCTATATTGGTCAATCACTTCATCGCTGCTTGTGGGAACGCCGCTGTGCGGAATTGGCTGCCGCGTTTCGCCCACCAGATACGGTCCATTCACTTTACAGTACGTTCTGCGAAGCGCTCCGAGTCGTCTCGAAGGCACGAATAGGCGCTGTTGTCAAACGCAAGGATTATTACTATCATTATTGATATGCGGCGCCTTATCACGTCGTCGAGATACCTGACTCTCCAGATCCTGTAACTGGGTCTGCCCCTCCATTCATTTCCAACCAGGTTGTGATCTTCCAAGGTTTGCCTTCGCGGCTCTCTGGGTTTCTCTTAGATTAGGGCCTGAGTTTGATAAATTTTCCCTCTGATTCTATTTCCACCGACCGAAGGGCTTCCCGAGGGCACCTTACTCCCTGCCCACTTTGTTCTCGCTCCGCAAACAATGAACTCCTGCAGCTCAGTGGTTAGCTCTCTCGCCTCGCGAGCGGGAGGACCCGGGTTTGATACCCGGGTCAGGCGAAACCTTCGGCAAGTTTCCTTACTGCTTCTGTTTCCGTCGCAGTGAGTAGGAACACGGTGGGTTGTCAGTCGATTGGCGGATTGCTCTCCCGCGGTAATAATGCCCCCCCCTCCCCACCAGCCAAAAAAAAATTGGTCACTCAATCCACGACTGTTTGTGGAGCATTGCTGTGCGGAATTGGCTGCCACGTTTCGCCCACAAAAATTGGCTGCATTCTGTGACACGCTTTGGGACGTCTCAACGACCGTGACAAGGCTCTATATCAAATGCAAGGATAAGTATGATTATTCTAAACGCTGCCAAAGCTCTTAGTCACGTCTTTGCTACACCTTGTGGGAGGGGAGAGGAGGCAGAGAAAAACCAGCGACTGGCTTCCGTTCTCTTCTGAGCACAGGCTGGTCTGAGCTTTGGCAGCGAACCTGCGGACCAAATGCTTTGTGCTGCGCAAATGGGATAAGAAGTTTACAAGCACCGAGAGCAACCCTCGTCTGCCGTGCTTCGAGAGGACAGAGCACAGATGTACTCGCTGGGCGAGTGCGTGCGTGTAAAACGTGTGCCAAACACAGAACCGTAGAATGTAACTCGCACCACAAACACCCCATTCAGACCATTAATTGGTAGTAATCCGATGCCAAGCTAATGGGTTGAATCCCGAGATGCCCACTTTAACAGCACTGGAGTCATCATCATCATAATAATAATCCTTGCATTTGATACAGCGTCTTATCACGTCGTCGAGACGTCTCAAAGCGCTTCACGGGAAGATACCGTAAAGTGAATTGACCCGTGCATTTTGTGGGCGAAACGCACAGCAGCGTCCCAATCGTGGAATCATCAATTTTATTTGGGGGATTGCTCACCTACAAAAACACACAGTCACTGTAGTTGATGATATAGCCTGTGAAGTGAAGTGCTTTCAGACGTCCTCCCGACGTGAAAAGCGCTGTATCTCTATCCCGCAATCCCTACGCCTCATCCCCTTCTCTTGCCTCTTTCAAGTCCCGTCTGAAAGACCTTCTTCTTCGACCTTCGGCCTTTGACCACCCTCCCAACTCCATCCCACCTGTCCTCCTCCTCTCCTGACCCCAACTCGGGTCCAAAACTCCTCGACTGTCCAGTGGCCTGGGACGTGGAGGGCGCTATACAAGTGTAATTTGCTGCTGTTGTATCAAATGCGAGGATTATTTGATCGTCGACTCGGTTTTACGTCCACCTCTCAGCACAGAGTGGATGGACTCCGAACTCGGCTGGACTTCTGGGCGAGGTGAACAGCTGGTCCCAGAGACAACTGGTGTCACAAGTGCAAGGATTATTATATTATTATTATCTTCATGATCCCGATGCCTTTACCCTTCTAGGGGTAACAAACCCCTCACCCCCCCCACCACCCCCCTCTCCTTAATATCACCAGAGGTTATATTTGATGGAAGTTTGGCATAACTCATACTTTGCATAAGTCATATTAAATGTACGGTCCCAACTGATACCGCGAGGTTCACTGTAGGGTCTCGGAAATTCCTGACGTGAACGGCCCAGGTACATGGAAGGCGGAAGGAAGCTTGTAAATTCTGATGAGCTGATCCCAATGCCAGAGGCAGGTTTGGGATTAATTCACACCCCCAATCGCGAGATCTCGCGCTGGTGTTCAAAACCCCTCACGCCCTGGCACCTCCCGACCTCTCCGACCCCCCCACCCTCACCCAACGCCTCCCCTCGACCGGCTCCGGCCTCCTGCACGCCCCCCATGTGCCCTTCGTTCCACCGGTTGGTGGCTGCACTTTCAGCCACTGGGCCCCGAAAATCTGGAACCCTCTTCCTCAATCCCTCCGGCTCGCCCCCCCCCCCCCCCCCACCTTCCCCGACTTCAGGGACGCGCCTGAAGACCTTCCTCTTCGACCGTGCCTACGGTCACTCACCCCCCCCACCCCCCCATGGCTTGGCGTCGTGCTCCGCCACTGTCAAGCGCGCTACCCTGTGTGAGGGGGAAGGGGGGCGCTATAATAAATGCAAGCTGTTGTCGATGTTGAACGCTTAAGATATCCGCCTGACCCAGACCGCCCGCGCAGGGGAGCGAAGAGCGACAGCCCCCGTGAGGATCGAGCCCGCGTCCGTGCGCTTGCCGCGTGCTTGGCGTGCGTGTGGCGTGAGCGGAGTCGCGGGTACTCACCCCAGGTAAAGTTTTAATGTTGTGCAGGGCGTTCTGTGCCTCGAGAGCTGCTTTTCTAGTGTAAAACGTTACAAAACAACAACCTGCAACACACAACGACAACAACGACCACAAAATTACATTCGGTGAGGAGCGCCCTTCAGGTCCGGAGGACTTCCCAACGCGCAGCGCACGCGCGGAAAAAAAAAAAAAAACGGCGGTGAGAGGGTCATTTCCGATAAAGTAATAATTTTAATAATAAGTGATAAAGTCATAAAGTCATAAAGTAATAATTTACTCTACGTACATAAAATTATTACTTTATCGGAAGAGAGTAAAGTAATAATTTTATATACGTAGGAATAAATATATATACCCACACACACACACACACATACACACACAAATACATATAATATGAAATAAAATATTATCTTAACAAAAAAGGACGACAATAAAATACAGTTCGGGTACTGGTTTCGCTGGAGTTAGAGGAGTTAGGATCTGATGATTCACCCCGTTATGTTTTATTTTATGTTTTATTTAATAAATTAAAACATCTTCAAAACAGCGTCAACGACACACGGCACTTGGTGGGTGTGTGTGTGTGTGTGTGTGTGAAAATATACAGTCAATCCACTTTACAGTATTGGGTGTGTGAAGCGTTTTGAGACGTCTCTAAGACGTGATCAGGCGCTGTAGCAAATGCAACGATTATTATTATCATTATTATTATTATTATTATCCCCATGCACGAGAGAGAGAGCGAGAGAGAGACAAAGGAACCGCGTAATGCTGCGGTACATCGCAAACAAGCGCACGGACATAAATACAGGCAAGGAGGCGGCGGAGTCTGCTAATGAGGAGACGACGATCGAACGAAGATGAAATGGGATGAAAGATCTCGCAATGACAGCAGGAGGTGCCTGATCATCAGGAAAGGGTTCGGAAAAACGCATTGAGGATTGAACAGAGGCAAAAATATAAAGAGCGTACAACATTAACAAGATTTCCTCACCCCCCGACCACTCAAACCTCACCCCACCACACCCCCTTTCCCCTGCCCCCACCCAATGAGCGTTGGCTCTCTATTGCTAACACTATTTTTGCTCTCGATTTGAAGGGCTGCAGAATCGTTGCAAACTCCGCTCCGAAAGATTTAACACCGCGGGAATTAACCATCAATTGACAGTCACAGGCTCCCCTTTAGTTGCCCTGCGGTCCTCGCTATCTCCGTGCGTTATTTTTTAATAACGACTTTCTCTGCGGATTTCGGGGCTTGTTGGGAACGAGAGGTGTTAGCGTTAGATAATAATAATAATAATCCTTGCATTTGATATAGCGCCTTATCGCGCCGTCTCAAAGCGCTTCGCAGAACATACCGTAAAGTGGATTGACCGTGCATTTCGTGGGCGGGCGAAAGGCGACGGCCAATTGCGCACAGCAGCGCCCGTCCCTCAAACAAACGCCGTGGGCTGAGTGACCAAGTTATTATTTTTATTGACTCACAAGAGCAGTTCGGATGAAGAAGGCCCTTCGGCCCATCCGATCTCATCCCTCCAGAACACCCAGTCACTACACTTTACTGTAAAATCCACCTAAGACTGCATCAAGCTGTTTTTTAAATAAGTCCCAGTGTCCTAACCTCAACCATTCTTCCTGGCAACCTGTTCCATTTGTTGACCACCCTCAGGAAGTGAATGACCAATTTTATCCGGGGAATTGTCGGCCTGGGGAAATATTAGGAACTCTTTTGGGATAGAACCCAGACAGGATTCCTCAATAAGAATCCAACGAGCACCACAATGATCTAAAACAACGCGCAACTGCTGGTGTGTGTAAAAAAACACTCCCCGAAAGAATAATATATTTCTTTTTGTATTTCCCGGGGTGGGGTGAAGCATTAGGCAACTTTCCTTACTCCCGCGCACACGTCTCTTTTGACTCCGCAGTAAGTAAGCGGTGAACCCGGTTGTTAGCCGATTGACAGAATGCTTTTTCCGGCGGTAATAATCCCCTTTTAAAAAAAAATTGGTCCCTCAATCCACGGCTGTTTGCGGGGACGCTGCTGTGCGCAATCGGCTGCCGCGTTCCGCCCACAAAGCACACAGTCACTTCGCTTTGCAGTATATCCTGCGAAGCGCTTTGATCAGGTGCTACAACAAATGCAAGGTTGATGATGATTATTATTATTGTATTGATCTGTGTTTGGAACGGGATGAAACCGCCTGATTAAGGCGACAGGATTTTGCAAGACTACAGACATACTGTATTTTTTTTTAAAACCCGCTTTAAATCTCTCTCCAATTCCACGTCTCTCTTCGCTGGTGTTTTAATCTCTGCGTGCTGTTTGGTGACATTCAGGGCCATCTGGAGCTCGAGGAAATGCCACTAATCACAGCTGTTAAAGACGCCAACAACATTCTCACCAGCCAGATCCCAGCCAAATAGCAAGCGATTTTTTTTTTTTAATTGTTATGTTTCTTTCCAACGTCCCGATTATTTATCTAATGGCATCTGGTGTCGCGGGCGCGTGCGCGAGAGAGAGAGAAAGAGAGAGAGAGAGAGAGAGAGAGAGAGAGAGCGTGAGCAAGGATGCCAAAGAGAGCCAGAGTGCAAAAGAGTGAGAGAGAAAGAGTGAGTGAAAAGAGAGAGGAACAGTCTGATAAGGGGAGAGCAAGAGTGCGATACAGAGAGAGAGAGAGAGCAAATTGTGAAAGGAGAGTGTGAGCAAGAGCGTGACGGAGAGCGAGAGAGCGAGAGCAAGCGAGGGGCAGCAGGAGTCAGAATAGGAGAGAGCGACCAAGAGTCTGAGGGAGTGAGAGAAATAGTGCGAGAGCAAAAGAGAGGAGAATTCAAGGGCTATCAAGGGCAACAGCAAAACGTTTTATATATAGATTAAGAGAAAGAGGGTGGTGAAGGGGGAATGTGGGCCCGTTGATAGATGTAGGTCCACTGGAGACAGATGTAGGTGAGACTCCAGATCAGACGTTATCAAATGCAAGGATTATTACTATTATCAAACAGAAGCCCCTCATCGGGTGATTCATAGGTGGCTCTCGTTCATCGGAAAGATAAAGGAGAGAGATACCAGCATGATGGTGGTGGGGGGGGTGGGTGGGGCAGGGAGTGGGGAAGGTCAATCCTAATAATTGGGGGGCTGCAGGGTTCTCGAATTAATCGTTTCGAAATCACTCGTTTCCAAGGGAGCCACAGTCCCAATTTAACACACCTCCTCTGTTCCCTTCAACAACATTACGTTTATAGAGCGCCTTTCACGTCGGGAGGACATCCCAAGGTGCTGGAAGGTCAGGTGTTGGGGCCCCAGCATGGGGGAAGGGTGGGGTAGGGGGTGAGGGAAGGCAGAGCGGTGGGAGAGCCACTGAAGGCACGAGCGAAGAGGAGGGTCTTGAGACCGGCCTTGAAGGATGCGAGGGAGGAAGTGAGGTGAAGGGACCGTGGGATGGAGCTCCAGAGCGTGGGGGCAGAGAGGCTGAAAGCCTGGCCACCGACGGTAGGGCGGGTCGGGCGGGAGACATGGAGCAGGCGGGAGCCCGCCGAACGGAGGGAACGGGCAGGTTGGTAGGGAGTCATCAGGTCAGAGAGGTAGGAGGGGGCAAGGCCATGGATGGCCTTGAAAGTGAGGACGAGGATCTTGAATTCGATCCCCTGAGGGATGGGGAGCCGGTGGAGTCGGGTGAGGCTGGGAGTGAGGAGGCCACGGAGCCTGGTGCGTGAGAGTACACGAGCTGCAGAGTTTTGGACGATCTGCAGCCTGCGAAGGGAGGATTTGGGAAGGACGCCAGTAGGCCTGGAGCTCAGGGTGGAGGCAGAGAGATAGAGTTGTGTGTCATTCGCATACATGGGGAGATTTACCCCATGTCTGCGGATGATGTCACCGAGGGAGAGCATGTAGAGGGTGAAGAGGAGGGGACCGAGGAGGACAGAGCCCCGAGGAACGCTGCACGAGACAGTGTGGGGGCTGGAGGAGAAACCGTTTGCAGAGATTTAATTTAATACCCCTTTTAAGTTAATACCTCTCCCGCTCCCTCCCCTGCTAACGATTCCCCGCAGCTTGTGAGCTTTGCACCAACGCTCTAGACGTTTCCTTCCACGCTTACGCGCTCCCAGCTACCACCCACCGAGACTTAGTCAGTTGTTTGATTAAAAAAATTATATCATTATTATTAACAATAATAATCCTTGCGTTTGATACAGCGCCTTATCACGTCTTCGAGACGTCTCAAAGCTTCTCACTGAACGTACTGCAAAGTGAACTGACGGCGTATTTTGTGGGCGAAACACCCCAGCCAATTGCGCCCGGCAGGCAGGGTCCACGCAACCAGCGATGGATTGAGTGACCCAATTTATTTTTGGAGGGGATTATTACCCCCTTGGAAAACGATCAGCAATCGACAAACAACCGGGTCGCTACTTAACGCTAACTAAAGAAGAGGTGCGTGGAGGAAGGAAACCTGAATCTGAACCCCATTCTCTAGAACTCCATCGCTCGCTTCCTCCCTCCCCACGTTTAAAGACCCTACCTCTTCAACCACGGTTTTGGTCATCTCCTGCCCCCCCCCCCCACCCACTCTGCCCTCCTCTCTCCCCCCGTCACCCCCAGGGGCAAAGTCGCTGTATAAACGCAAAATGGCTTGAGGTGTGTCTGACTAAACCGTTGCCTTGAAACTCTCCATCTGACCGACAACCGTAATTATTGTAATAATAATGTCTGCTCCCACACAGGACCGTGCAATACATTTGTCTCAATGCTTGATTCCCATCAATGAGTTTTCGATTTTAATTTTAATTCCAGGGCGACGGTATTCCATCGGAAGGACCTTTTTTCGCACAAGGATTTAAAAGGGAAGTGAACAATGCGTGGGTTTATGTTAATTCATCCAAATACAAGAGCCACATTTAACAATGACACATGCCCTTGACTGCATCCTTTCTGGCTTGGATTACTTTGGGGCCAGGCTGTCAGCCCGGCTCAGTTGGTAGCCCGCACTCTCTCTCTCTCTCTCTCTCTCTCTCTCTCGCTCGCCTCCGAGTCAGAAGGTTGTGGGTTCAAGCCCCCCCACCACCACCCCACGTCGGGATTTACTGAGCTCACACGCTGGCCTGACGCCCCAGTGCAGAGCTTTGTCAGAGGTACTGTCCTTCGGGTGAGACTGTTAAACCCGGGTTGCGTCTGCCTCTTGAGGTTGGACGCTAAAATATCCCATGACACTATTCGGCTGTGTGTGTGTGTGTGTGTGTGTGTGCGCGTGTGTGTGAGCGTGTGTTCCGTACTGTTAAGCGAGGAGGCAAAGCAACGAAGGGCGCAGAGAAAGAAAACGGATCCATCCTAAGCTCGCTTCGGACTGGGGAGAACTGCAGCGCGTGCGTGCGTGCGTGCGCGCGCGCGCGAGTCCGAGTGCACGTGTCAAAAAAAAAAACTTTCAGCTTTTCTTGGCCTGCTTTTTCTCAGGGCATGGGATTCTCTTTCAGACCTGATGTGGGGCCCCGGGGAGAGAGAGCGAGAGAGAGAGAGAGAGTGGGAGAGGGAGGGAGAGAGCGCATTCCATTCCAACAATCCATCTCTGGGATTTCCACGTGTCGGTGGGAGGCGGCGAATTCTCAGCTCGGTTTGGAGGCTCATCCGCAACGGTGATGGGTTTCCGCACGTGGCAGACACCCGGATGAATTCCCCCCCCCCACCCCCCAAAAAAAAACTGTGGAGGAAACTGCTGTGCGCAAATTGGCTGCCGCGATTCCCCTTCTTAAACACCCAGTAACTACACGTTACTGCGGGGGGTGTATTTGCCCTGCGAAGCCTCTTTGAGATGTCCTGCCGACGCGAAAGTCACCGGGCTGTGCCAAATGCGAGGATTGGTTTTCTCTTTTCCAACACTAAATGGCTCTCGTTTAAATTGTGTGCGATTTCTGAACGGCTCTGGAGCCCTCGGTAATCTGCAATCCCCAGAATGAACTCGGTGAGTCTCAGCGATGACTGACGCAAACAGACTGCCAACGACACTCAAGCAGCGATCTCACAGTTGTAAACGTCTCGCTGTGTGTGGGTTTCAAGTTCTGCCGCTACGGCAATGTCTCATCAGGAAGAGCGTTACGACCCATTATTCTCGTGCCTTTTGCCACTTTATAGCGCTATTACCGCTGCCCCTGCCAAATCTGAAAGGCATCTGAGTGTAACAATCAATTGGTTCCTAACCTCACTCACATTACTGTGATGCTGTAAATTCTCCTTCCCAACCATCCGTTCCAACTGTGTGCATGTTTGCTGAATTGGAAGGAAATTAATTCCTCCCTTTTCTCTCTCTCTCTCTCTCTCTCTCTCTATTGCTTCTCTTTCGCTCTCTTTTCCTTTTCGCTCTCTATTCCTTTTCGCTCTCTCCCTCCCTCATGCTCTTTCTCACTCTCACCCTCTCTTTCTCCCTCCCTCTCTCTATCTCCGTCCCTATTTCTCTCTCTCTCCCTCACTCCCTCATCCTCCCTCCTTCTCTCTCTCTCTCTCTCTCTCTCTCCTCCGTCAAAATTCAGGTAGATACTCCTAGAAATGAAACAATACTAATAAAATACGCTTTAAAACTTACGCAAATCCATAAATATTTAGTGCCACCGGGCGTTTCTATGATACATAACTTGGTGAGGGTTCATAAATCACTGTAACTCGATTAACTTGACAGCTCAGTACTTGCCAGTATTGAGGGGGGGGGGGTGGGGGGAAGAGAGATAGAGAGAGAGAGAGAGAGGGACCCCCAACAGAATCTAATAAGAGCTGAACAATTACTAGCGACAGGTTTTGTTACGCACATGATACCCTTCACAGCCAAGCGCAGGTCCACATACAAATGGATTGAAATTCCACCCGGATTTACTCTATTCACGTCTCGAAGCGCTTCCCAGAATATACTGTAAAGCGAATTGACTGTATATTTTGGGGGGGGGGGGGGGGGGGGGGCGAAACGCGGCAGCCAATAGCGCACAGCAGCGTCCCCGCAAACAGCCGTGGATTGAGCGACCGCATTATTTTATTTATGATGATGCTGCAGCATTCACTGATATCCACAGGAACTCTCGGGATCTTACAGGAATACTGACGTCGAGAGAGAGACACTGCAAGTGAAGTGAAGAAAGCTGCTAATCTACAGGGAAGTGAGAGAGCGAGATGAGTCCTATTAATAGGCCCCAAACACAACTGGGACGTTTGCAGAGATTGTGGGAACGAGACAGGACACCCGCTTGCTTTACTGGGGACGTGACAGGGCGGTCACACCAATACTGCGCTGAGGGCTACACTGCATTGCCACCGGTCCCAATCTCTCGGCTGAGACGTTAAACCGAGGTCCCGTCTGCCTGTTCTGGAGGACGTTAAAGATCCTATGAAAAGAGAAGGGAGATTCTCTCTCTCTCTCTCCCGGTGTCTCGACCAACAATCCACCTGGTAAAATTAGTCACGAGTTCACGGCTGTTTGTGGAACATTGCTGTGTGCCAAATTGGCTGCAAGGTTCGCCTACGAATGCACAGTCACTCCACTTGACGGTAAAATTCTGTGAAGCGCTTTGAGATAAGGTTATTTATTATGATATATAAGGAATAATAGACTTATTGCTTAAATATGATAAGGCGCTACATCAAATGCAAAGGTTATTATTATTATTATTATTATTATTATTATTATTAAAGTCCCCAACATGGTGGGCGTTAAACCACGGACCTCGAACTCGGGGGAGGCGAGTGATCATGTCGTTGAGACGTCTCAAAGTGCTTCACAGAATATACCGTAAAAATGGAGTGACTGTCTTATTTTGTGGGCGAAACGCGGCAGCCAATCGCGAAACTTGTGTGCGTTTGCGCGTCAGGGAAGATACGGGCGGGAGGGATGGGGGGGCAGACAAGCGGGGAGGGGGGAGGAACGAGAACCATCTCAACGCCGCGGCTGCTTGAAAACATAAAAGCCCTGCGTCGCACAGGGCTCCGCCGTTTCCATTTAGCGCTTAACTCCTCGCCAGGCTGCCTCGCGCCGAAAGTCGCTGAAACCTCCGTGCGTGTCGTGCGTGCCTTCTGCGTTTTGGTTTCAATGCCAAAAAAAAAGAAAGAAAGAAAGAAAGAAAACTCTTTCCATTGAAGTCGCATGAAAAATTCACGGCACTCTCCTTGATGGCATCGAAATCCATTAAAACTAACGTGAAGAGCGAGGAAATTATTAAGTACCTCCGTCAATTTCGCAATACCTTCAAGAGCTCGCTGAACTTTTGCGCTGCTAACAGGACATACATTACTTAGCCTGTCCCTGCCATCTCGACCGCCCTAACTTACTGCTGCCAGAGTTACTTTGCGCAGTGGAAGAAGCTGCAATCGTTTCTTTCTGTTCAATTTAGACCGTTCCCAATTTTTTTCCTCTTCTTGATTTTTTTTCTCTGCCCCATCCCGCTTTCTCTCCCCCTCTCCCTCCCTCCCTCCCTCCCTCCACCCACCGCCGACACGCGGCTCTCTCTCTCCTCTCAGTCCTCACCCCCTCCCTCGTCCCCCACCCCACCTGGCCACGCTCGCCCCCCCCCACCCCCAACCCACCCCCCCCCACTCCCGCTCTTCGGACGAGACGTTAATCCGAGCGCTCCCGTTTGCGGGGACGCGGCTGTGCGCAATTGGCTGCCGCGTTTCGCCAGCAAAGTACAATCGTCGCTCCACTTTCCAGTATATCCTGTGAAGCGCTTTGAGGCGTCTGGAAGACCCGATAAGGCGCGATGATCAAGTGGAAGGATTACAATTATTGTGTGATGCGCTCGCCTTGCAATGGAGCCTGTAACAGGATTAGCAGCTGCTGTCTGCGTAGACAGTTGCTCTCAAGTAAGTAACGCAGCCCCGCACTCGGTGCTCTTCAACGAACAGGGCGGGTTGTGTTTGTAAAATCGTCAAAGTCCGTTGCTTTATCCCAGACAGCTGCCGGATTATATCCTGTCCCTGTTGGATGTCTAGTGGGGGGGTGGGGGGTGGGAGAGAAGGAGTTTCCTGCCTCTCTCGCATCGGTAGACCAACAACAACTTGTATTTATTTAGCCCGACCTCCACATAGAATAACATCTTGAGGCGACCACAGAGTTAGGTTTCAAGCCAAAGACTTTCGAAGACATGTGGGAGGGGGAGGGAGAGGGGAGGGGGGGGGGGGGAGAGCCAAGATGGAGGCATCGAGGTTATGGAGTTCCAGAGAATCGCTTATCACATTGTCGAGACGTTTCAAAGCCCTTAATAATAATAATAATCCTTGCATTTGATACAGCGCTCTTCACGTAAAGTGAATCGACTGTATATTTGTGGGCGAACGCGGCAGCCAATTGCGCACAGCAGCGTCCCCGCAAACAGTCGTGGATTGAGTGACCAAATTAACGTTATTTTTTGGGGGGGGAGGGATAAAGCGATTCTGCCAATCCACTAACAAGTGGGATTCCTACTTACTGCGAGGCAAACAGAGGCGTGTGGGCGTGGCGGAAGTTTGGCCTAAGGTTTCTCTCTGCCCGGATTTGAACCCGGGTCCTTTCGCTTGCGAGGCAAGTGTTCTAACTGCTACGCTACGGGACAGTTTAAGCAGTTCAGCGTTTCGGGCACTCTTTCACCGGTTGCCTCGTACGGTGGATTGCATGACCAAATGAATATTATTTGCCCGGGAACCGAACCATTACGCCACAGGACTCCAGCCGGGAGCTGACAAAGGTGTGGATAAAGACCAGTGAACGCATCCACCGGTCCTCGTTCTTTATCCCCCTCAGACAATGTGCGACTTAGCACCGTAGGTGTTAATTAACATATCCCTCACCGCAATTTTCACCTCATCGCCTGGTCTCTTTTTGAACCCCGCGAGGACTCTCCCGTCATTCCCTATCGCTCTCAACCTACATTCCTGCTGCCAAGTCCTGCAGGTAAGCAACATTTATTTTATTCCTTTTTATTTGTGTGTTGAGCCCGTGTGGAAAAATAATCACCCGCCAGTGATTTGTGTGCTCCCTGGGCAAGGGATGTGTTTTTAGATAGAATTGGTATTCCTGAAGGATGATCATAAAATAATCGTAATAACCCATACAATTGATAATAGTGCCTTTAACGACAACAAGCCTCAAAAGTGCTTCACAGGATATTCTATAAAGTGTAGTTACTGCGCGTTTTGTAGGTGGAACGTGCCGGCTAATTGGCACACAGTCGTGGCAGTGAGCGACCAATTTTATTTGGGGGATTGTTGGCCAAGACACCAGGAGAGAGAAAGTCCCTTCTCTTTCCGAATCGCGCCGCGGGATCTTTAACGTCCACCTGACCAGACAGACGGGACCTCGGTTTAACGTCTCATCCGAAGAACGGCACCTCCGACAGCGCAACCCCCCCCACCAGCGCTGCACGGGAGCGTCAGCCTAGACGATATGAGTACAAAAGTGCCGAAGTTGGGGACTTGAACCCACAACCTTCTGACCAACTGAGCCAGGCTGACGCATGTTGTGTGCACGTGTGCGTGTCAGCCCCTTACACTCAGCGAACACTGAAACACACCCCTTTAATATTACAGGAAATATCTTTCAAAACCAAAATATTAGTAATTTTTGCATGTGATACATCTCAAAGCGCTTCGCGGGATAGACTGTAAAGTGGACCGACTGTATATTTCGTGGGCGAAAATCAATCAAAAAGGCCGACCTGCATTGAATAAATCCCCCGTAATGTACACTGTAGTGTGTGTGTGTGTGGGAGGAAAGAGTTTGTTGCCCTGACCGGGCGACGCAGAGTGAGATAATAAGGCCCGCTCGGAATGACGGATTCCCAGTCAGTCCAGCTTAATGTTCCGTCGAGGGCTAAAATAATTGCCGGATGATCCTATTTCACTTCATTTTAAGGAGAGCTATCAGACCGAGCCAGGCTGCTTTTCGGAACAAAAGCACCGAGATGTCAGGAAGATCTCATTAGTAGAATCAGCACGATAAAGGGCAAAGCAGAACGACTCTTGGGCTCGCTGGATCCCATTGCTCTCGAGTCTAGAGCCTCGGCACTTTTGCAAACAGCCACTCCGCTTGACGGTACACTCGCCGTGCGCGACGGCTCGAGGGGGGAGTGAGTGGAGAGGAGCCAACAGGGAACCGCTGGGTGAGTGGGGCCGTGCACGACCCGGCCCGACAATTCCCACTCACCGGCACCCTCCCCCCCGCCCCCCCCAGCCCCGCCAAGCGTTCAGCAGAGATCGAGACGAGCGTCGAGACGAGATCCTCAACCGAGACTGCTATAATAATAATCATAATAATCATAATCTTGGCATTTGATACAGCACCTTATCAAGTCTTCGAGACGTCTCGAAGGGCTTTGCCCATTGTAGCGTCAAGCGAACTGGCTGTATGTTTTGCGGGCAGACATTTTTGCGCCCAGTGGTGTCCCACAAACAGTCGTGGGTTGACGTGAGCAATTTAGCCTTGTTGTTGCTAACGGGTACCGAGTGCCGTAAAACCAGGAACTACCCCCTCCCCCAAAAAAATAACATTCAGACGCGGGCGGATCTGGTCTTGCGCAGAAAGGAACTGATATGGTGTATTTTTACACACCACCACCCCCCACACCCCCTACCCTCTCCTCTCCACTCACTCCCCCCGCCCTGAGAAGGCAGATAACAAGCAGCTCCTTGCTAATCCCAAGCCCTTGCAGAAAATCTGCGAGGAATCCTACAGCGCTTAAATCCTCCCCTCGGGCCGCCGGAGCTCGACGGCTAATTTCTCTGCCTCGTAACGTACAGCTGTTCGGGAGCCGGTGCCAAAGGCAACTGGAGTAAGCGTGTCACATTTCTCTCCCGTCTCACACACATCCTCCGCCGCCCCCAAACCCCCCCCCATCAGCTTCTCCAAGGCCATGTGTACGTGCGCGTGTGTGCGTGTGTGTGCGTGTGTGTGTGTGTGTCAGCCTGGCTCAGTCGGTGGCACGCTCGACCTCCAAGTCAGGGAGTTTGTGGGTTTAAGCTTAAGCCAACCGGAAAACAAATGGAATTGAATTTACGGCTTGGCTCCTCACTCGCTCGCTCGCTGCCTCAGGGCAGTGGCGTTATTGGCATTAATGTGAGTAAAGAAGACCCAATGTTACAAATCCACTCCAGTATATAGCAGTCAGTCTTTGCTCAATTCCAATCTTCTCGCAGACCCAAGAGCTCTCCATAGAGCACAGGGCCTACAGAGACCAGCAAATTGATAATAATAATAGCCCTTGCATTTGATACAGCGCCTTATCATGTCGTCGCGATGTCTCAATGTGTTTCACGGGATATACTGTAAAGTGCAGTGACTGTGTATTTTGTGGGCGAAACTTTTATTTTATTTACTTTTTTTTTTCCAGACCCCAATCTCCCGACGGCACCCTCCGAAAGCCCCAGTACCCGGGTGAAACGGGAAATACCACACATCGCCGGTCACTTAGCCTAACGCTGAGATCGAAGGGCCCCCCACCCCACCCCAAAAAAAACGATGGCTTAACGGAGGAGTCTAATTCATTTCGCTTTAAGGAAAGCTTTCCAGAATTGGTGTTGGCTGCCTTTCAGAAATGAAGACATTGGAAAGTCGATTACATTTCCAATTGTGGGTTTGTAACGAGTCTTTTTTTATATATGTAATGCCTTCTCTGGCGCTCTTCTTGGCAGAAGTAATAGCGCACTTGTTCTCAAGTGGCTGTTAGGAGGCAACTTGCAAAGGAGGATATGAAAGACGGCAATTCAAATCCAAATAAGACTTCTGGGGAGACCGAATGAACCTGACGTTGGCTATTGTACTGTGTCAGCCCGGCTCAGTGGGTTGCGCGCTCTCTCCATCTCTCTCTCTCCATCTCTCTCTCTCGCCTCGGAGTCAGAAGGTTGTGGGTTCAAGCCCACTTCAAGACTTCAAGACATAGTCCGAGCTGACGCTCCCATGCAGCGCTGGGGGGGAGGCGGGGGTGTTGCAATGTCTGAGGTGTCGTCTTTCGGAGGAGACGTTGAACCCAGGTCCCGTCTGCCTGTTCAGGTGGATGTTAAAGATCCCGCGGCGCTATTCGAAAAGAGAAGGGAGTTTCTTTCTCCCAGCGTCCCGACCAACAATCCCTTACCAAATAAAGTCGGTCCTTCGCTCCATGGCTGTTTGTGGGACACTGCTGCGTGCAACTGACTGCCGCAATTCTACCACGAAATACACAGTCACTTGGCGGGTGTGTGTTTTGTGTGTGTGTGTGTGTGTGTGTGTGTGTATTTTGCCTGTGTGCGTTAAGGTGTTTGTCTGTGTGTGTTTTGTATCAGTGAGTCGCGCGCGTGTGTGATTTGTAGGTGCGCGTGTGTCTGTGTCTGTGAGCGTTGGTGTGTTTGAATGTGTGTATTCGTATGTGTGAGTCGTGTGTGTGTGTGTGTGCGTGTGTGTGTGTCTGTCAGTGTGTGTGTGTATGTGTGTTTGACATAAAGAGTGACCAAGCAGGGAGTCTGCCATCTCTCAAGACACTGAACCCCCTGTGAATAAGTCAGACGAGCTTGGCTTCTGGAGAGGGTAAGGGTGGATATAATTGGTGGCAACCAAAATAAAGAAGAAAATTGTAAAACCTTTCAGATGTGGCCTTGTGCCGGTCTCTCTCTCTCTCTCTCTCTCTTTCTCTCGCTCCCTCTCTCTCTCTTCCCGCATTGTATTTTTTTTGCGCGCGGTGTAAGGAATTCACAGTGAAGGCTTTCAAATCTGTTCTATGAACTCGTAACAATTGCGACGCAGGGCTCTTATTCCCTTAACCCCGTGCTCGCTGGAGAATTAAACAAAAACAGCCTCAATTCATCATCGATGATTTTTATGCCGACAATAAATAATCCTTGCAGCAGACACAGCCCCTTATCACGTTGTCGAGACGTCTCAAAGCGCTCCACAGAACATACCGTCAAGTGAACTGACTGCGTGTTTTGTGAGCGAAACGCGGCAGCCAATTGCGCGCAGCACAACATCAACAACAACAACAAGATTCCATTTATAGAGCGCCTTTCACATCGGGAGGACGTCCCAAGGCGCTGGACAGTTGGGTCAGGACCCGAGCCTTGGGGGGAAATGGTCAGGGTGAGGGGAGGGAAGGGAGGGAGCGAGGAGGGGGTAGAGAGTCGAGAAGGGAGCTGAAGGCTCGGTCAAAGAGAAAGGTCTTGAGACCGGCCTTGAAGGAGGAAAGGGAGGAGGCGGCGAAGGCACTGGGGGATGGAGTTGCAGAGCCTCGGGGCTGAGAGGCTGAAGGTCCGGCCACCGATGGTAGGGCGGTTGGGGCGGGGGATGTGGAGGGTACGGGCAGGTAAGTAGGGGGATAGTAGGTCAGAGAGGTTCTCAAAATTGCGCCCCGACTCTCCTCTCTGATCGCCCCGTTACAACCCTGTGGTTTCGGGGTTCGTAAACTCAGACCCCGCGCTATAACCCGGCACGGTTAAAAAACAAAATGAACGGCCACCGTTCAGCGAACTGGGTCGTACGGTCACTCCCTGCGAGTTGAATCCACCCCCACGGCACTATTCAAAAAGCGTGCACTCCCTTCACGGCTGTCTGTGGAACACTTAAGCTCTCCGGGACGCTACACCCCGTGAGAGGCGCTATATCAATGCGAGTTGCGGCTGTCATTGCTGTTGCTGTTTTTTGCCGACGAAATACACAGTCACTGCACGACGCAGCAAACCTCGTGAAGCGCTTTGAGACGGCGACCCGATATGCCGCCACGTCAAATGCAAGGATTTTTATATTATTACGATTCCCGCCAAATGCACAGTCACTACACCTGCCAGCAAATGTGGCAGCTATTTGCCATACAGTAAGTAATGTGTGCTACCAGAGAATTTCGTTGTCGGACGGAGGGTGGAGGGTGGGTGGGTGGGGTGTGGTGGGGGGGGGGGGTGGGGGTCGGGGGGTGAAAAATTCTGGGGTGGGGAAGAGCGTGTGTTTTATCCCTCTTCACCAGATCCATCCCAGAAAAGTGAGTGGAACCCAAAATATACGCCAGGTTTAGTTCGAACCGCACAAGACGCACAGTCACTACACTTTACTCTGTATCCTGCCTGTGAAGGGTGGGGAATAGCAGGTCCGAACCGATTCTCAACTGGTGTGAACCAATAACCGCATCCCACCAGCGAGCGCCTCCATTTAAGCCCGTCGAGCGAAATCTTGGGGTGATGGTGCGGACGTAATGGTGTGGAAATATCATCAAATTTCAGTCCATTTTAACTTCAACGCAAAGAGGAAGGAACAACTTCTCAGATCCCCAAATTACTACCAGACTTTGGCTGCCAAAACCCCCCGCGCCACAAAACTCGAGGTGTTAAAGAGGAAAGTCATCTCAAGCTTCAGTACGATGGCAGCTCACCAGCGGCCCTCTGCCAACCCTGGCCCTTTCGAAATTACTTTTATCTTCTATTTGTTCTCAAATATTCGTCTTATTCCTCTTTTTTACAAAAAATTAGGATCGATTCTGGTCCAACGGCTGTTTCTCTCTCTCTCTCTTTCTCTCTCTCTGTCTCTCTCTCGCTCTCCTGGTGTCCTGGCCGACAATCCCATGGGCAAATTGGGCTGCTGTGTTGTCCCACAAAATACGCAGTCACTACACTTTAGACGGTATATCCTGCCATGGGACATCCTCCTAACATGAAAGGGGTTGAACCCCTTCACTTCAAAATAAGCACACCCTGGTGCATTTGCGCACAAAACACTTAAGGGGGTAAGTATTTAAGGCAAACGTACACAGTAATGCCCCCAAAAATAACCATGAGGTGAGTGACTAATCCTATCTGGGGGGAATGTTAGATGGGACGCTGGGGGAGAGGATCTTTGACGTCCACTTGAACAGGCAGACGGGACCTTGGTTTAACATCTCATCCAAGGAACCCCACCTCTGACAACTCAACACCTCACACCCCTCACCCCCCACCCCCCCCACTGCACTGCTTTGGAGCATCAGCCTGGACTGTGAGCTCAAAATCCCAAAGTGGGGCTCGAACCCACAAACTTCGCCACTGCCTATCTGATGAGCTTGGGCACCGTGCCAACAATACAAGGAATGTTAAGGGCCTTTTGCAGTGTGAGAGAGTTGCCGAAGTCACAGGAATTAACCATCAGGTCACCTGCTAGGATGGGAATTATCTGGAATCCGGGCCTGGATCACGGACAGAAATTCCCTTCTTATTTTAAGCCCTGACCTGAACCGAGGCTTCAGGCAGACGTGTTGCTGGTATTTCAGTCCGTGGATGACAGCCCGGGAGTAACCGGAGAGCTTCCAACTAACGCTGGGGCCCCAGAGTGGGAGGTTCGGCTGTTATTAGATACAGTAAAGTCCGAGGCACCAACTGTACTGGAAAATATTCTCTTGAGCATTGATATACAGTAAAACTTGCAGGAGTATAGATTTAAGATAATTGGCAAAAGAACCAGAGGGGAAATGAGAAGACATTTTTTTTTGACACAGAAGAGGTGTAACGGTCTGGAATACACTGCCTCGAAGGCTGGTGGAGAGTAGATTCAATTATAACTTTCAAAAGGGAATTGGATAGGTACTTATAAAGGAAAACATTTGCAAAGCTGTGGGGAAAGAGCGGGGGAGTGGGATTAAATGGGTAGCTCTTCCAAAGAGCCAGCACAGGCACGATGGGCCGAATGGCCTCCTTCTGTGCTGTATAAATCGTATAATCGCCCAAGTGGTACATCTGCCCAAGTCCAGTTCAAGAGTTTGTATTCTATACAGGTTTGACATAACTCATACTTCGCGCAAATCATATTAAATGTACGGTCGCAACTGCCGGGTAAACAGAGCCGTGTGTGTGTGGAGTAATGAAACTTGCCCAAGGTTTCGCCCTGCCGGAAATCGAACCCAGGTCGCTTGCTTGTGAGGCGAGCGCTCTCACAGCTGAGCTACAGGACTCCACGTGTACATGCGTGTGTGTGTGTCTATTACAATGTGGTTGGCTTCTTGCTCCATCTTTGTGACAGATCACGTTCACAGACCTACCGATAAAATGAGACGTCCACAGCCCACATTTTGCAACGGACGATGTGTTAATTCACACATTAAAGGTCACATTCCGCACCGCTCTCCACACACACACACATACACACACACACGAACGCTGTGTTAATGAACAACATCACAGGTCGTAATCATCTAATTCAGCCTCGCCCACGTTTAACCCGCAATCTCAATCTCCTGCATTTTTCTCCCCGTTGCTTCTGAACCCCTCTGCAGAAAGTGGCCCTGTTTTGCCTTGTGCTGCAGTCCCAACATCAAGGCTGACATAAGAGTGGACAGCTCAGACACAGGCCATTCACCACAACTAGCCCACACCGGTGTTTATACCGTAAAGCTCACATAAATCGGATCAATTGGGGCCACAGCATTTGATACGACTTACATACAACGTCTCAAAGCGCTTCACGGAATATTACAGCATTTTTTGTGGGCGAAATGCCACAGTCAATTGCGCACAGCAAAGAAACTTGCCCAAGGTTTCGCTCCCCCGGGAATCGAACCCGGGTCCCCTCGCTTGCGAGTCGAGTGCTCCAACCGCTGAGCTACAGGAAGTTTCTCTTCTTGAACCCTTGCGAGGCGAGGGATCTAACCACTACATTACAGCGGGGTGGTGGGGGGGTGTGGGGTTCGAGGGGGAGGTGTGGGTGCTTCACTGAGCGACAGGATCGCGGGTTACCTTTGCTCTGTGGAGGGTTCTGACTCCTGTCTCGGAGAACGTTGATCTGATGGACTGCTCCGTACGGCTCGAAGAGTTCCTTCAGCTCTTTTTCTGTCCAGGAGCGAGGAATCTGGCCGACAAACATCTTAATGGCATCTGGGTCCGGCTGATCCGAATGGTCTAGTGCACCGTTCATTTTGTTATTCGTACCGTTACTGTGGAGAGGGGAGGAGAGAGGGGTGAAACGAGAGACAGGAGTCAGACAGACAGACAGTCACATAAACCCCAACATACCATCGGGGTCTGGTGTGAATACAGTCAATAACAACAGCTATGATTCATGTTAACACGCTTCGCGTTTATAATAGGATAATAATAATAATAATAATAATAATAATAATAATAATAATAATAATAATAACTCCCTTCTCTTTTCAAATTGAGCCGTGGTATATTGAACGTTCAGACAAGACTTTGGCTTAATGCTCCACACGAAAGACGGCTCCCCGAAAACGCACCCCCCCCACCCCCCGCCCAGCGTGGTACTTGGGTGCCAGTCTCCACAGTGAACTCAAAGTCCTGACATAGGGCTTGAGCCCACAACCTTCTCAGAGGTTCCCGACTCAGAGATGCGTTTAAAGCCAGGCTGACTCCATCCTACAAGCGTCGCAGCACAGGAACAGGCTGGTCAGTCAGCCCACTGACCAGCCAGCCTTCATCTGCCAGGCCAGGCCCTGGGGTACTGCGTACCCACCTGGCTAAGGAACCGGACGAACGAGACCGCCGCGGAGGGTGGATTCGATTCTGCCACTCCATTGCCAAGCACGTCACACTCTGGAGCTTCTGATTACGAGGACCGGGTGGAGTTGGCGGTAAGAATGCAGGGCTCGGTGGTCCCGGCCATCTCGCGTCGCCCTCCCTCGCCGTGAAACCGACGTCCTCTCCAATTTTGCAAAAGCAGAACCAATCATCCGAAAGCTTCCCTCTTTCTCTCTCTCTCTCTCTTTCTCTCTCTGGACCTGACCTAAAACCGAGCAGTCCGCCGTCTGTTATGTTATGTTCTGTGTAGTTAACACGGGTAAAACGTGGCAAGGAGATGGAGAACTGCAGCCTCTCTGCACTGGGATCTATCCCCAGGCTGTTGTTTGTTTTACTCTGCCATGTTTACACGATAAGGTTAAGAAGGGAATCAGATCGAGAATCTGAACTCCACGCGTGTGCCGCCACTTCATCAGAATCGTTTGAACCCATTTAGGATCATAGTACGAATGAGTACAATCCTCGCATTTGATTATTATCACGTCTTCGAGACGTCTCCAAATGCTTCGCAGGATATTCTGTGAAGTGAACTGCTGTGGGGGAAACTCGGCAGCCAATTGCGCACAGCAGCGTCCCCACAAACAGCCGCGGAAAAGGCATCCTATCTTCCCCGCCTCCCCAGCTCTTCACCCCCTCCAATCCCCACCCACCAAGGACTGCATGCAATCCATCTCATAGAATCATACAGCACAGAAGGAGGCCATTCAGCTTATCGTATCTGTGCTGGCTCTTTGGAAAGAGGTATCCAAATCAATCCCACTCCCCCCCCCACCGCGCTCTCCCCACAGCCCTGGAAATTGTCCTCCGCAAACGCTTCGAAGACGAAGCATTATTTTTGCCTTCAAAGCACATGACAGTACGTCACAGTACAGAAGTGCTTTGAAGGCAAAACTACAGTCACTACACTATCCCGAGACTCTGTATCAAATGCAAGGATTATTATCATCATTATTATTGTTCATAAAATTGGGAGCCGGGTGCGAGAATTGCAGATACGTATCAGAATGGGAAGCCACCGGAACGTGAAAGAGCGGCGGCCCTTAACGACGTGTAAAATATGTTCTGACACCAGAACGTGACAAGATACACGATATTTCTGTTCTTCGAAGGTACAGGGCTCTCTGGAAGCCTATAAATACCGTGTGATATCTGCAAGCGAGAGAGGCCACGTTTAATATCGAGAGGGTATTCCAGGAGTCAAAATCCTCTTCGCTGTTAACACAAATAATATTTGTCTCTTTCTGGATTATATTAAACCTGGAATCCTTACGTTACATTCGAGGCACGTCTCGAGGCACTCCTCTTCGTATCGAGCCTTCGGTCACCCTCCTACCCCTAAACCCTCCCTGGTCCAAAGCCCACCCCACCTCCCCGCCCAGCTCGGGCCTTGGGACGTCCTGCTGTTGAGTATAGTGACCGTATTTTTCTTTAAGCACATAAACTCCCGCACATCAAGGTCCCACAAACACTAGTGAAGCGAATGACCGATTAACCTGCTGGACTGTTGGCTGGGACATGGGGGAGGGTGGGGGGGGGGGGTGCGGGGGGTGGAGCAGGGGAGGAGTGGGGAAAAAAATCCTTTCTCTTTTTGAATGGCATCGCAGGTCTTATGGCAGACGGGACCTCGGTTTGTCTCGCCAAAAAGAGGTAACATCTGGCAATGCAGAGCCCCTCCCCAGGACTCACTGGAATGCCAGCAGAGACCCCAGAGCTCATAGACCCAACGCAGGGTTTAAATCCGCTGGGGATATGGGGGTGGAGGGGGGGGGGTCTCGCTGTACTGTCAGAGGTACCGTCCTTTGGATGAGACGTTAAAGATCCCGAGATGCTATTCGAAAAGAGAAGGGAGTTTATCCTTCCCGGTCTCCTGGCCGACAATCCCACCTCACCCCCCCCCCCCCCCCACACACCCTCACAGCCCCCCATAAAAAAAATTCGGTCATTCGCTGTTTGTGGGGACGTCGCCGTGCGCAAACAGTCTGCCCCCACCCCCCACCACCCCAGCCTGCTCTCCTCCTGCCAGATACACAGTGGCTCCACTTTACAGTAAGTCCAGTAAGATTCAGTCAATCTCTTTTGAGACGTTTCGAATGACGCTTATGTCAAGTGCTGAGATTAGCACTGCTGTAAGCACAGCACAGCAAAGTGGCTCAGACATCAAACCCAACGTACGACAATTCAACCAAAAGAAATCTCCCCCCACCCCCCGAATTGCCCAGCCGTTCGCATCAAACGTTGTGATATTTAGTGGAGTGTGGGCTCCACAGTGACACAGGACGATTAACTTAGACCTGACTGACAGAATCAGGAGGTGAGTTTGATATCAAAGCTATGTGACTATTTGAAGTGTTGGAGGAACACAATTATACTTTGCTGATAATGTGCTCTGGATCAGTGCTGGAGGCTATCAATACGTTCCGAGTATAGAGCTCCAGGTGTCTTTCATGTCGCATAAACCATCACTATATCAAGCTTTGGCGGATGATAAATGAAATTTTAAAAAATCCCCCTTTTTCCGCTTGTAATGAACAGCGCTGCAAGGGAGGAGGAGGAGGAGATTGGAGCGGGTTGGTTGGCGAGAGCCAAGGCTTGGGCGAAACCCCCGGAGTGTGCGTTGGGGGTAACTGTTGGGAGTCTAACCAGCTTAAAAATAAAAACGGTTTGCCAATGAGAGCGTTGTCTGGCGAGGTTTCCCGCTGCTTGTCCAGCTAGGTCCCACCCTCCCCGTGAGGGGCTTTGGCTTGTAGGGTTACCAGGAGATTCACTGAACCCCCAAATGACCGACCAGTCTATCGCTTCGAGTCCGGCTGACGAACGGGACAGGCGGGGTGGATGAGGGCAAGACCAGAAGGCTGGAAAAATTTGCGTCCGAAATTAAAACGAAAAATTCAAAAATGGTTCCTCCTCATAGCCATATGTTTATTTATTTATCTTGCATTCTCTTTCTCTCTCTCTCTCTCTCTCTCTCTGGTGAAATCCAAGTTGAAAGTGAACCTTGTACCGTTCCCTAATTATAAATTGCGAGAATTATTCCCTTTGAAGTCCTGGCTAAACACCAGGGAAAAGTCGTTTAACCAACCAAGAGCTTCAAAGGAGATAGCAGCAGAGGTCCAACTCCGGTACCCAGCGAGCGAGCCAGGGGTTGTCCGCTCAATGAGAAAATGAAGGGAGTCCCGTAGCTCAGTGGTCGGAGGGTTCACCTCGCGAGCGAGATGACCTGGGTTCGATTCCCGGGCTGGGCGAAACGTGGGGCAAGTTTCCTTACTCCACACACGCACGCCTCTGTTTACCCTCCACGGCCTCACTCCCCCCCACCCACCTCCACCTCTGTGACCTCCTAACCCCTACCAACCTGTCCGCTCCCTCCGCTCCACGTCTCTCCCACCTCGCCCACCCCACCGCCGTTGACGGGTGGGCCTTCAGCCTCTCTGTCCCCACTCTCTAGAACTCCATCCCAATCCCTCTGCTTCCCCCCCCTCCATTGCCTCCTTCAAGACCCTCCTCTTCGACCGTGCCTTCGGTCAGCCTCCTACCATCCCCGCGCCCCCGACTCGGGTTCCAAATCCCTGACTGTCCACCCGACGTGAAAGGCTCTGTACGAACGTAATTTTGTAAGCAGGAACCCGGTTGTTGGTGGATTGTTGGATCGCTTTTTCCGGGTGTGATAATCCCTTCGAAAAAAATAATAATAATAATTTGGTCACTCAATCCACGACCGATTGTGGGACACTGCTGTGCGCTTAACCTATTCACTCTATCCTGACAGCAGTAACTTGGTATCATCCTCATAAACGTAGGCTGCACTCTTTCCTTCGCTGTTATATTCCATCACTCCCTCCTGGAGTGCGGACACGAGAATTGGACGCAAGACTCCAAATATGGTCGAGCCAAGGTTTTGCGTGTCTGAGCCACGGCACACATACATACACACACACACACACACACACACGTTCAAACACGCGCACACACACAAACACACACGCGCACAGCTTCTCGTCTCACTTCAACTCCTAATCATCGGGAAACGACTTGCCCCGAGCCGATTGTTGAGTGGAAATCTTTTGAGGGCTTCGCCTCGGAGTGTTCCAGAAGAGCAAGCGGAGGAGTACGCGCACGCACGCGCGCGCGCGCGCACGCGCACGCACGCACGCGCACACCATTTCCCCCTCCTCACCATCGGTCACCGTGGTGCTTGGCTATCTGTTTCGCAACCCAATGTTATCGAGTCGAAAGGGCTGCACTGTGGAAAATAACAAGACAAGGCAATTTTGGCTTCAACGTCTCCGTCTCTGCTTCTGCCTCTGTCTCTCCCTCGCTCGGCCTTTTTGATATAAAAATATATATTAAAAAACACTGCTCGCTTTAGCTAGAAACCTTCAGAAGTGCCGTGGGGGAGGAGACTTCACACAGGAGGAATACGCACACATCCGGCCTCCTCCAGCTTCATTCCCAAACCTTAACGGCCAGCTCTTGGGGTGATGGAATAAACTAACATGACCCCTTTACTATTCTAATCCCCGACGGCAGAGTATTTTTTTGATTGGGCTTAATGCCTTCTCTTGCCTCTCCCTCCTTCCGTCCCTCTCTCTCTCTCTCTCTCTCTCCTGCTCTCTTCCCTCCCCCTTTCCCCTCTTCTCCCCCGCCCCCAACCCCAACCCCCCCCCCCCCACCCCTCCACCACCCCCGCTCTCCGTCACTCGACGCTCCATCTGTTTCCAGATAATTCAGATCATTAGTTGGTGGCTCTCTACCATCGCTATGTCTGCAGACGCCGCCTCCTTAAGACAGACAGATGGAGTCGTTCAGAATCAAATTAATTTCAGATTAATTCGGGCTGGACACACTCCAAGCTCGCAACCCAGCCTGAAGCCAACACCCTCCCCCCTCCCACCCCCCCCCCCCGCCCTCAAACTGGGGCCCTCTGTCCTGGCTCTTCCTAACCCGCGGAGTGTGTAGGGGGGTGGGGGGGGGAAGGGTCACGAGCATCTCCGTGTGGGGGTGACAACACATTACACTTACCCAGCGCCTTTCATGTCGGGGGAGGAAGTCCCGAGAAAGGACTACACACAATTATTTGAGATCACCTCTCTCTCGACTCACTCGCTGAGCTATACACACCCTTAGCTGCCCACAAAATACACAGTCACTACACCTTTGCAGTTGACTGTGAAGCGCTTTGAGATGTCCTCCCGACGCGAAAGGTTCTGTCTGGAAACGCTAGGGCTATTGTGATGACTTCATTGGGCCGGCGTCAACAGTCAACCCCACCGCATCAACACCAGGACAAGGGAAGGGGAAAGGGGAAGGGGGAAGGGGGGTCAGCAAGTGGGTCTAAGGCCAAGGATCCCCCTGGCCCCAGGTCCTTCTCTCCGCTCGCTGTGGCTCAGGCGATGCCTGAAATAAAATTATTTGACCACAATCTCCCGCAGTGCGACTGTGACTTGCGGTTGCCAGAGAAACCGCACACGTGCGTGTGTGCCCGCGTGCGTGTGTGCCCGCGTGTGTGTGTGTGTGCCCGCGTGCGCGCGCGCGTTAAAGAAAGAGCGCTGAGTAAAATCTCGCGGCCACAAGAGTGTCACCGATGAACGTGCGCTGACGAGCAACACATAACGAGCCGATTCTCAATTACCACCGCAACAAGCCTTCCCGTTCAATGCACTGAAACGGGAGCCGTATGTGCGCAGCAAACCACTTGCAACCAGACGTGGAGTGAACGTCCAATTTATCGGGGGGGTGGGGTTTGGGGGGTGGAGGGGGGTGGGGGGTTCTGTTGGCTTGGGATACTGGGAGAAACTTTCCAATGGTGCCATCATTCTGTAATCCTTGCTTTGGATACAGCGTCCTTGACAAAGCGGTCGAGATGGCTAAGTCTATACTGTAAAGTGGAACGACTGTGTGTTTATCACGGGGTCCCCACCCACAAATCCTACCATTGGGGTTCCCACCCACCAAATTATGAACCAGATGCGACCAACTGAGAGCCAAGCTGACAAGTCAAGCACACAGTAACAGACGTCCAGAGCTGAGGCGCTTCAAAGACCTTTGACGACAACCTCTCGCATTGGCGATAACAATAATAATCCTTGCATTCGACACAGCGCCTTATCGCGTCGCGTCGAGACGCCTCAAAGCGCTTTGACTGCGGTATTTGGACGGCAAAATGGCCTTATATTAATAACGCCCTTACATAACAGCTCGGCGCCCTGGAAAGACATCAGTCAAACGGCAATTTGGGGATGTAAAAAAGGCGCCCGACGATGATCAAGCGCCAGGCTTTCATGAAGGGACAGGGATCTGACAAGCTGCAGTGTAGATATTGTTTCTCACATACACAGCACACACCTAAGCGTCACATTTGCTGAAAGCGTTTAGACCGCTCTCCCGATGATCAACAGCCACGCTCACTTCTGGTGACTTTCATAATTCCCAAATCAATCAACGAACAATCGGGCTCCACCAGCACTGACCCAGCCGCTCGATCAATAGATCAGAGTTATAAATCAACGCCGTTGATAACTAACACACACACGCACCCACGCACACACGCACACACGCACACGCGCACAAACAAACGTGCATGCAAGCACAAACACATTCGCAAGCACACACAGACAGGTGCATATAAATACCTAACACGCATGTAGGTTGTCGCGCCGTTAAGACATCTCGAAGAGCTTTGCAGGATTTTACGGCGAAGTGTAGTGACTGTGAATTTTGCAGGGAGGAACGCAGCAGCCAATTTGACGGTCCAGCGCCTTGGGACGTCCACACGATATGAGAGGCGCGAGACACAAGTGCTGTTCACTCACCGTGCATTCGGAGTGGGGTGGGGGGGTGGGTGGGTGGGTGGGTGGGGGGAGAGCTGGCAAACTGGGCATTCAGCTGGGTGGGCGGGCGGGCGGGGAAGAGGACTGAGAGAGAGACTGAGAGAGAGAGAGAGAGAGAGAGAGGAGTGGAACTCTTATTCAAACGGTAAAAGAAAAGTCGAGGGAGAAAACACGACAGGTCAGAAACGAAAAGTTCAGAGTTTCGTCCAAACTGGACGGTTAAACTGAAAGCACATCTGAAGCCGGTTCCCAGCACCCAGGGCTTTCTTTTTTTCTCTCTTTCTCTTTCTCTCTCTCTCTCTCTCTCTCTCTCTCTCTCTCTCTCACACACTCTTGTCATATGGCAGCGATTTAAGACAAAACACTTGCCCTAAACATGAAAGCGAGCACATCGAGGCAGTGTTTCTGGTTACCATGGATCCCTGGATCAACACAACATGGCCTTTAGTGTGAAAAAAATTAAAAGCAATATTTTGTTTGCAAGCCCACGCCGCCCCCCCCCCACCCCTCCACCCCCCCCCACCACCACCCACCCCCTTTGCCAAGCGAGATATGTGCTCGCTCGAATGCTCGCTCACACACAGAGAGAGAGAGAGAGAGAGAGAGAGCTTGAAAGCTGAGATCACTTCCTAATCATTAATATACAAAGGAAGTTTCGTGTTGGGAGATTTGCGAAGGAAAAATGCCATTCCGATGCCATCTTTGGAGACCGTGAGGTTTTAGCTTCTTGCCGTTCAAAGCGGGAGACCCAGGAACAGCAGCAGCAGCTCGCGTTTATAAAGCGCCCCTCGCGCAGGGTAGGGTCCCAGAGCGCTTCACAATGGCGGAGCACGACGGGAGGTGACCGTAGGCACGGGTCGAAGGTAAAGTCTTCAGGCGCAACCTGAAGATCCCTTCAATAACGCCTTCAAAAATAATAATCGGTCACTTCAATCCGCGACTGTTTGTGGGACGCCTCTGAGCGCAATTGGCTGCCGCATTTCACCCGCAAAGTGCACAGTCGCTCCACTCTACAGCGTATCCCGTGAAGCACGTTGAGACGCCTCGAAGACGTGATAAGGCGCCGTATCAAATACAAGGGTTATTATTATTATTGTCATCATAAGATGGGGAAGGAGGGGGCAAGGCGGAGGGAGACTGAGGAAGAGTGTTCCAGAGTTTCTTGATATCCTTCACTGTCGCTGAGCTCAGCCCCGGATTAATAAAACATTGTTTCAGGTTATATATCTGAACATCGTGTTTGTTCCACTAAGGACTCACGTTCGGGGAAGGTAAAGGCCAAGGCCAGCATCAGCCCCATCCATCTAATGGCTCCTCTTCCCACACTCATCCTGTACAGGGTGTCCACAAAGTCCAAGCAGCAGGAAAGCTTGCCAGGCATCGATACCGACGGCAGGGCATGTGGCTTTAGCTGGTTAAGACTCCAGCAGTTACCCCCAACGCACACTTGGCTCCCGTCAACAGGGAGAGAGAGAGAGAGAGAGAGAGAGAGAGCATTCCATTCCAACAATCCGCCTCTGGGATTTCCGTGTGTGGGTGGGATGCAGGGAATTCTCAGCTCGGTTTGGAGACTCTTAAAGCAACGGTGATGGGTTTCCTCAGGTGTCGGGACGCCCGGAAAATGTCCTGTTGCCTCCATCGCTAAACAGCGAGGAGATTACGGAGGGGCTGAAACAAGCTGTCAGACACAGATGCATTTCGCCTCTTCACTCCATCATGCGACGGGAGGATCTCGCACTGAACACGGTGACGGATCATTACCCCGCCACGAAAATGATGGCTCTGGGTGTCTAAATACAGTTGAAACACTTGTACCGAAGGCAATTAAGCGCTTCTAAATACAGTTATCAGCATTCTTCTACGTGTTTTGGTTGTTGGATCAGTGCACTGCGGCGGCGGGAGGGGGTGGGGGGGGGAGAGAAAAAGTAACGGGACTTTGCGGACACCCCGTAGAGTGCACGTTCGACCTCACCCGAGTGCACGTTCAGCACGATAGCAAAAAGTTGCAATCACACAGCCCCTTCACGCAGGATAGCGTCTCGGAAGCGCTTCACAGTGACGGGCTTGCTCGCTTGCTGTGAAGGGACAAAGTGTGAGGGACTGACTGGAGGCACGGCCGAAGAGGTAGGTTTTAAGGTGCGATTTGAAGATAGAGAAGGGGGGATGGGGTGGGAGAGGTCGAGGCAGTGGGATGCAGGCAGACATCAAGGGGAGGGGGGGGGGGGGAATAATAATAATCCTTGATTTGATACGGAGTCCTATCATGTCATCGAGACGCCTCAAAGCGCTTCGCGGAATATATCTGTAAAGTGAATTGACCGTGTGTGTGTTTTGTGGGCGAAACGCGGCGGCCAATTGCGCACAGCGGCGTCCCCCACAAACAGCCGTGGATCGAGTGACCAAATTAGAATTTATTTATGTTGAAGGGATTATTAGCCCTGGAAAAGCGATCCACCAATCGACTAACAACCGGGTTCCTACTGACTGCCGAGTAAACAGAGACGTGTGGAGTAAGGAAACTTGGCCAATGTTGTCTACTAACCCATTAAACATGTTGACTGTTCTCTTTGTGTCACAAAGCACCAGATATCTGTCCGCCAGTGAAAGGACAGAATATTTTTTTTTGAGGAGAAGAGGATATAAAAATAACTCTAACTCTTAAGGTCAGAGTGGCATTTATCACGGTTAGAAACCAAATTGCCAACTGGCCGAAGAAGGCTGCAACTGTAACGTTCGTGAAGGCAGAAAGACCTTGGGATATAGATCGAGGTTAGCATAGATAGCGGAATTTGCTCCCTCCACTCTCTCTCTCTCTCTCTCTCTCTCTCCAATCAGCCACGTCAAAAAGAATGAGGAGAGAGTCCGTACAAAACGGCACCAGTCAGCAATTTCACCCAACGACGAATAATCCCGCCACTGGAAGCCGAACCATTTGCCCCAACAAAATACGCAGTCACTCCACTTCACAGTGTATCCTGTGAAGCGCTTTGAGACGTCTCGACGACGCGATAAGGCGCGATATCAAATGCAAGGATTCTTACTGTAATTGTAGAGACGTCCGGCGCACAGGGAGGCCATTTGGCTGACTGTGCCGGTGTTGGATCCCTCTGAAGAGCTCTCCATTGCGCCCCCCACCCCATGCATCTTTCCTCACCCACATCCGCCCCCACCCCGCCCCCCGTGAATAAAAGTCGCTACAGGTGGAATTTCACCCCAGCAACCTCTAACTATCCAACCGTAAAACGCTGCAAATTTTTCAACCCCTGGACCCCCCCCCACCCGCCCCCCTCCGCCCAGCCCCTCACCTCCCAACCAACGGCTCTTTCGAGAATCTTCCGCCTTCCGACGAGAGCCCAGAAGCAAATCGCCCACCGAGAGTGAGTTTTTAACTTGGAATTTTACATGAGAAAATATTTATTTGATATTTGCCTGGTAACATATTAAAATATACCAGGCAGCAGTAATGCGTTTATATATAGAAACAAGGGCTTGGCTTTCTCTCCTGGCAACTGAGATCTCTCCTCGGTTTGAGAGGTTAGGATTTAATGATATTAATAATAATAATAATCATACTTGCATTTGATGCGGCGGCTTATCAGGTCGTTGAGACGTCTCAAAGCGCTTCACAGAGTATACTGTAAAGGGGATTGACTGCGTATTTTGTGGGCGAAACATGGCAACCAATTGCGCACAGCAGCGTCCCCATAAACAGTCGTGGATTATTATTATTATGTTTTTAACGCTCTGTATGAAAAAATATCTCAACGGGAATCGGGTTCGACTGCTAACAAGACCGGCAATTCCATCTTGTCTTAAACCGTTAAGTCCCCTTTGTCTTAAAAAAAATTGCAAACACAATTCCCTGCAAAACTGTGGGAAAAGTACCTTCGAACCTGTCTTTAGCCGTTTAATTCTGCGCAAAACCACCTGCCGCCTTCGGCCGCTAAGTAAAAAGTCACTGCGCTGCGACTGTGAAATGCTTTGACGTGAAAATCTCCCCCCGTCAAATGTCTCACAGCGACTAACAGGGAATTGTTGTCAAGCGCAGTGACCGTGGGTTTTCTGGGTGTTTCGAACAGCGCCACGGAAAACGTCCATCTGAACAGGCAGGCGGGACCTCGCTTTAACCTCTCATCCGAAGGACGACGCCTCCGACAATGCAACATAATCCCCCCCCCCCCCACCCAACCTAGGGGCGTCCTCTCGACGTGAAAGCCGCTGTACAAATCTCAACGTGGAATCTGTTTGTCGTTGTTGCGGGTTCAGCAGTCTAGACTGAGCTCGAAGCACTGACGCGAGGCTTGAACCCACAACCTTCCGGCTCAGAGGAGAAAAAAAGGATGTCGGTGAAGACACAGCCCTGCCCAGTGACCGGAAACTATTGCTTTCGACACGACGAGCAGCGTTTTTCTATCGGAAAAAAACGGAATTGAATTTACAGCTTGGTTCCTCGCTCGCTCGCTCGCTCACTCACTCACTCGCTGCCTCGGGGCGATTTCATTATTGTCATTATTGTTGGTGTTACAAATCCACCCCCAGTGGATGTCGGTCAGTCAGTCTTTGCTCAAATCGCCTCACAGCCTTCCAGAGACCAGCGCATTGGGTAACAACAATAATAATAATAATAATCCTTGCATCTAATCCAGCGCCTTATCACGTCGTCGAGACGTCTCAAAGCGCTCCACAGCGTATACTGTACAGAGGACTGACTGTCCATTTTGCGGGCGAAACGCGGCAGCCGCGGAGGGATACCAAGGGACACGGGGGGCAAAGGCGAGTAAATGGGAGTTGAGGTGCAGAAACATAGGAACAGGAGTAGGTCATTCAGCCCCTCGAGCCCGTTCTGCCATCTCTAAGATCATGGCTGATCTGCGCCTCAACGCCAAATGCCCGCCTTTGACCCACATCCCCTTGATGCCCTGACCCAACAAATATATATGCCACGATACTAAATAGAATGGCAGAACAGGCTCGAGGGGCTGAATGGCCTCTTCCTGTCCCTGCTGGTGAGTCACCCTGGGAGAGCTGGACACGTTGATTTCCAGGAAATCTGAGGGCAAAGTCACGCTGTCTCATGGCGTAGGCATTTTTAATTCCCACCCCCCCCCCCCCCCCACCACCGCCTCCTTTTTTAGTCATTATCACGTAACGGTAACGGGAAGGAGACGGTGATGGTGGAGGGAGGAGGCGGAGGGGGGGGGGGGGGGGGGGGAGAGAATAAGAAAGGGGAACAAAGGATGAAAGGTATGTCAGTGCGGCGTTGAGCGCACAAAGCTTTTTAGAAAGTTGCAGTAATTGGCCTCCGCCTTTCCAGCCGTCTGTCTCT